CCCCAAAACCCCAAAACCCCACTTAGAAGTAATTGCAATTAAGATGACTAATTCAAATCAATAATCAAATGAATATATTTCCCTGATTCATCTCATTTGTATTCCATTTAATCTTTCCCAGCTTATTAAAATATTTTTCATAAGCATCGCAATTGTCATGGGCCCAACACCACCTGGTACTGGTGTTATATATGAGCATATTTCAATAGCCTTATTAAATTCGACATCTCCATATACTAACCTCTATTAATTACCTTCTTTGTCCAACTATGTTATCACATTAATACCCACATCAATTACTATTGCTCCCTCTTTTATCCATTCTCCTTTGAAATATGAAATTTTCCCAATAGCAGCTACAAAGATGTCAGATCTTCTCACATATTCTTCTAAATTCATTGTTTGGCTGTGACATAAACTGACAGTGGCATTGTGGTTATTAAGCAAGAGAGAAAGTGGTAATCCCACTATATTACTTTTTCCCACTATTGTTACATTCTTACCTTGAATGTCTGGACATACAGATTTGATCAATTCTAGGACAGCCTATGGAGTGCAGGAAACAAAAAACGGCTCTCTTCCTTTTAATGCCAAATCTATAAAATTTATTATTTATAAACGATAGAATTACTTCCAATATTATATGGATGAAAGCCATCTACATCTTTATCTGGAGAAATTAAATCAAGAATCTTGTTTTCATCAATATGTTTAGGGAGTGGTAATTATACAAGAATACCACAAACTCTGGGATCTGATTACAATTCTTAAACTCTCAATGAAAGTTCATCTTATGATACTGATTCCTCTAGTTCAAGTCCAATGCATTCAATACCAATTTCCTTGCATATTTTCTTCTTATTAGTGACATAAATCAGAGAATCTGATCTCTAGCCAACTAAAATGAAAGCCAGGACAGGTTTCTCAAATATACTCCAGAGTTTTTCTAAAATTGTAACCAATAAATTATTTACGCTCTTAAATTTAAGAGATTCTCAGCTTTATATCTTATAGAAATTTATCTGACATCGTTTTGCCATCTAACAACTTGTCTTTATGCTTAATTTTTAATTATTCAAATTCATCGCGAGAGTAAAGATCTGCTTTTGATTACATTTCTAATATATTTATATCACTTTTCCTTCCTAGCTTCAAGTATATGATTTTTTGGGGTTTTGGGGTTTTGGGGTTTTGGGG